AGAGAGAGAGCAAGAGATGGGAGAGAGGGACATGGGAGAGAGAGGGAGAGACAGAGATGCGGGAGAGGGAGAAAGATGGAAGAGAGAGAGAGGGAGACAGGAGGGAGGGAGAGACAGAGACAGGAGAAAGAGGGGGAGAGACAGGGAGGGAGAGAGAGACATGGGAGAGAGAGACGGTAGAGAGACAGGAGGGAGGGAGAGACAGAGACAGGAGAGAGATCATAGGGAGAGATGGTAGAGAGACGGGGAGAGGGAGAAGGGAGAGAGAGACAGGAGGGAGAGATGGGAGAGAGAGAGGGAGATGGGGAGAGACGGAGAGATACAGAGATGGGGGAGCGACAGAGACAGGGAGAGAGAGAGAGGTGGTAGAGACGGTAGAGAGAGAGAGGGAGATGGGAGAGACAGGAGAGAGACAGGAGAGATGGCAGAGAGAGAAGGGAGAGCGAGAGACAGATAGGAAGAGAGGGTAGATGAAGAGACAGTAGAGAGAGAGACACAGATGGTAGGGAGAGGGAGAGAGACAGGAGAGACGGGAGACACAGGAGAGAGAGAAGTGAGAGAGACAGGGAGATGGGAGGGAGACAGAGAGGAGAGACGGGGGAGAGACAGAGACAGGAGGGATGGCAGAGAGAGACGAGAGAGAGAGCAAGAGATGGGAGAGATGGGGGAGAGGGAGAAAGATGGAAGAGAGGGAGACAGGAGAGAGACAGGAGGGAGGGAGAGACGGAGACACAGGAGAGATGGCAGAGAGAGATGGGAGACACAGGAGAGAGAGAGAGACAGGGGTGAGGGAGAAGTGAGAGAGACAGGAGGGAGACACAGACAGGGAGACAGGAGAGAGACGGTAGAGAGACAGGAGGGAGGGAGAGACAGAGACTGGAGAGAGAGATGGTAGAGAGACAGAGACAGGAGGGAGGGAGCGACAGAGACAGGAGAGATGGCAGAGAGAGAAGGTAGAGAGAGACGAGAGAGAGAGCAAGAGATGGGAGAGAGGGACATGGGAGAGAGAAGGAGAGAGACACAGAGACAGGAGAGAGACAGGGAGAGAGAGAGGGAGACAGGAGAGACGGCAGAGAGATGGGAGACACAGGAGAGAGACAGAGAGAGGAGAGACGGGAGGGATTGACAGAGACAGGAGAGAGATAGAGAGAGACGGTGGAGAGACAGAGACAGGAGAGAGAGAGAGATCATAGGGAGAGAGAGCAAGAGACGGGAGAGAGAGAGCGACAGGGGAGAGAAGGAGAGACAGAAAGATGGAAGAGAGAGAGAGGGGAGAGAGAGACAGATGAGACGGGAGAGAGAAAGGGGGAGAGAGGGAGGGAGGGAGAGACAGATCGTAGGGAGAGATGGTAGAGAGACATAGATGGTAGAGAGAGACGGGAGAGAGACAGGAGAAAGAGGGGGAGAGGTGGTAGGGAGGGAGCGACAGAGACAGGGAGACGGGAGAGAGACGGAGTGAGAGATGCAGAGACAGAGATGGGAGGGAGACAGGAGAGAGAGAGACACAGATTGTGGAGAGAGACGGTAGAGAGACAGGAGGGAGGGAGAGACAGACAGGAGAGAGATCGTAGGGAGAGATGGTAGAGAGAGATGGGAGAGAGAGCGACAGGGGAGAGAGGGACATGGGAGAGAAGGAGAGAGACACAAAGACAGGAGAGAGACAGAGAGAGAGGGAGAGACAGA